AGAGTGCTGGTTAATAAAATTGCGTAGATGTATACAACTTGATTTATTGTGATATAAGGAATGTTTAACCTGGAATATAATAAATAGCTTAAAAAATAATTAAAAACGAAATAAAATAAAAATATTTTATTTCAAGACCAGATTTGTACTGGACTATTTCTTTTAGATATAATAAATATCTGTACAAATATTTCGTTTATTACAATTGTTTTCATTTTTCACTTATTACATAGTACACTTGTCTTGTAAAAAAATAAAATAAAATAAAATTAGAGCATGCAAATGAAATTTAAAATTTCATAATTTTTTGAATGTTCTACATTACCCTTATTTAGAATGTCGTTTGCCAATTCTTTACCAATTCCAGTAAAAAGTCATTTATATAATTGACAGAATTTTGTGAACAAGATTTCAACATTAATAACTCTTTAGTTTCATTTTTGTTTTTTTGTGTATAGGTAATATTCTTAATGCTATTCCACAGACTTTTTGTACTATTACTATTCAGCGAAAACTGTTCCCTCTCATATTTGCGTTTTAATTTCTTAATCAAGTTGTTACAGAAGTTACGATAACGTTTATAACTAATATTAAGTATTTAATTATATTTGTCACTCCGTACCTGTTTTTGTAACTTATTGCGATGCTTAATACATCGCAATATACCTGGCGTGACCCATGGTTTAATGGCACGCTTTGATTTGGGTATGTTTACTGTTATGGTATTTTCATCTAAAGATTCTTTTAAATATATAAAGGAAATTACATATAATAATAGGATTATTAATGAGCCAAACGATATTGCAAACAAATTAAATGACTATTTCATGAATTTAACGAATGGTAGATTTGCGCCTCTGATGAATAACTTGCAAAGTATTCAGCAGGTAAACAACAGCATCTTTTTGTTTCCGACAGATGCTAGAGAAATGGGTAAAATAATTACTAGTTTAAAAAAATCCAAACCAAATACACACGAGAATAATAAAGGCGGTAAAAGAAATTATAGCACCTGTGTTGAGCCACTTGGTAAATTTATCATTCGAACAAGGGATATTTCCTGAAAAACTTAAAGTATCAGTAGTGAAGCCAATTCATAAATCAGATAATAGTCCCGATGGCAGTGAGAATTTACAATAAATTACCTAGAGAAATAGTGAACGTGGCAATAAATTTACTTAAAGGTAAACTGTACCGCTTCCTTTTGGATAAATGTTATCACAGTGGTAATGAATATTTAGCAAATAATTTATGATAGGTAACAATTCTATATTATTGTTTTATGACATAGTTTTATTTATTAATTGCGAATTTTAGATCGCTTAATAGACTTTCTATATTGTTTTATTTATGTTTTGATATTGTTGATAACTTATTTAACTTAATATAATGCATAATATTTGAATGATTATTAATAATGATGCTTGTCTTATTTAATGTAAAATTGATAATATCTTTTAGATATAAGTTGATAATGTGTTTTGCATGCCTGTTAAGACTAAACGTGTGAAGCGCTTTTTTTATTACTGACTATATTGTGACCACGTTTTATGCAAATAAATTGAATCGATAGTAAAGTATCCTAAAATGAGCCGAATAGCAACAGACCCCGACTTGTTGTTATTCCCCGCATGCAAAATTTTATAACTCTGATTGAAATAGCTGTTAATTAATTATCAGGGTATTGGAAAATCCTATTCAGCTTTGGCAAATCAGAGTTGAATAAAATGATCTTTCAAGTGTTTAATATAACAGCTCCTTGTGCTACGTGCGTAGATAGATGGCATAGTGGATAAGCACCGCGGCCCGCGGTCGTTGTTGTTAAGGAACTTTCGCAAAGGTCGGTCACGGGATGGGTGACCAAAAAAAGAAAATATTATACTTGCTCCGGAAAGCACGTTTAGCCATTGGTTCAAGTATGATAGTATGATTTTACTAATATAATAGCGATTGTAGGTTTTGATGTGTATTACATCTTCACGCAAAAACTACGCAACGGATTTTGATGACATAAGGTATATGAATTAAGTTCTATACCTGAGATTATATTAAACGATACTTTCATAAAACTAATGATTCTAAGCCTAACATAAAGGATACTGTTACTAAATCGTTGGTTCTTTAATATTTAATGTTTATCGATGTAAAAATTACTTTGACGATGTCAACATTGCTGATTCACAACAACTGGTAAATTATAGTAAATAATCTCCAGCTAAATGCTAAATAAACGAAACGTATAAAGTTTATATTACCTAACGTAAAAACAGAACTAACAAAAATAAAACTTAATGCTGAAAAGCTCTAGTTGGTTGATCCAAGAATGTTTTTGGGAATAACACTAGATTCTAAATTGCAATGGCATCCTCACATTTCATTATTGGCCGGAATAACAGCAATAACAAAAACCAGACAACTCGCAGATGGAGATACTGCCAGAACAGTATACTTTAGTTATTTCCATAGCGTTATATTGTACGGTATTCTGCTGTGGAGTGTGGCTGCACATATATATTTCGTATTTATATCAGTAAGAGCTATTTATCAATTAGGGATATATAGCTTTTACTACTTTTTTTTTGTAAAATAAATAGAGATAAATTCAAATAAAAATGGGAAATTGTCAGTGACCTCCCTGTCTTTTATATACAATTGTATAATGTTAATAGTAACGTTAAACATAGTTAATGTATACAATTTGAATATTAGAAACAAAGTTAAACTTGTTTTGCCGTCATGCAGGCTAAAGAAAGCTCTAGCAACATTTATGGGACAAGGTATAAACTAGTATAATAAAATTCCTATCGAAATTATTTACTTTTGTCTTAATTTAAGACACGTATTAAAATTGTCTTCTTGGTAAAGGATATTATACTGTTAATGAATATTTAAGCAAAAAACTCCTCGGTGTTAAATATGGCTTATTTTGTGTGTTAGGTGCAGTATCATACAGTTTATCATTTATAATTTTACGTTACATTTATTTGAAATGAATCGATTAAAGAATACTAATATATATCAAACGCTCATATATTGCAAAATATAAATATCCGAGATGAATTATTTTTAATGTATATCCTATATCTATATTTTATTGAAAAGAAAACCCTATATATCTATTTTAAAAATATCACGGTGTTTTATTTGAACATTGATGTTCCATTTCATTGATGACATATTATTCAATCAATCTTGTCATGTTGTACAATAAACAATGAAAGAACGTTTCTAATGTGAGCGACATAAATATAAATTTGTCAAAATACAAATTAGCATTTATTGGACTTGAGTTGGGTTAAAGGATTATTTTTATAAAGTTTAAAAGACAGGTTTTATTATACCTAAAGTCGGGTTAAAGGATTATTTTTATAAAGTTTAAAAGACAGGTTTTATATTTTATTTATTGAGTTAAAAAAGAAAACAAGTGGAAAACTCTTGGTAATAGAAAAAAAGGTATGAAAATTGATAAAGTATTCTTAATAAAAAATGTTTAAAAAAATCCACTTTGTTCCTGTCACTCTGCGATGGGATTCGAGACCATGACCTTCCGCAATCCGGGACTGCTTTAATTACTGAGTCACCCAGGACCTAACAGGAATGATGAATTTTTGAAGCACTTGTTACGTTTTCGCTACTACAGAGTTTTCATCAATATATAGGTAATCCACCCAAACAGCCGAAATACATATTTTTGAAAATATTTTAAAGATGAAAAAAAGTTCCAATTATTATACCTACTTATTTGATATCTTTCATATCCACAATGCCATACTGGACAATATTCTCAAAGAAAAAGGTTCAAATCCCATCTCAGTGTGCCAGGGACAGAGTAGATTCCTTTGGTGTGCGGCGGATTTTAAGCACGGACCCCACTCGTATGCGGTACGATCAAGCAACTCTCGCCCTTTGTACTTTTTCGCTTCTATTGTTAAAATACTGAACTGATAAACTTTGGGTATTTTTTTTATAGTATCCTCAGATATATTATCTAACCACTTATAAATACAGTATTCACAATGACGATTTACTTTTGATATATCGTGAAAATGTGGGTTTTTTATTCGTAAGTTTTTTGTTTTTTTTTTAAATTTACCTTCAATTTCTACAACTTTATCTTAATTTTTTATCTTGTTTAAGTATTTTCCCAGCAAACACATGCTATATTTTATCAAAATAGTAATAAAACGGGGTCGCCCATTCAATGTCCTTTTTTTCCGCTCGATAATATTCAATTGACGATTACATCACACTTTCCTCTGAAAATGTTTTAATTCTTATTTGGTTATAGTTTTTGTACATTCAGCCAGCTCATAGACAAATTTTACACGGAAATAATTCTTCAAACCAAAGTTATAAGCAAAACAATCAGAAAGTGCGTGCCATGTCTTAAGATACACGCCGCCGTGTCTCGAGATACACAGCACGCACACTACGGGTCAGCATTTTTCATTAATAATATTTTCCACAATAGAATTATGAATTGGAAATTGATCAAATATAATAAATAGATAAGGTCGTCGTATATAATGCAAGTGATCAGAGCACTAAGAACTAAATATTTTTTTGTGCAACTAGGGTTAATATTCGCCATATTGAATATTTTTTTAAACATTCGATAGGGTCATACAGGATGATATTACGTTTACTCTATACATGTTATGTTAAGAAAAGTTATGATGGACAAAAGAAACTCACACACATACGTTAACCCTAAATACTATACACTTCTTTTTTGTAGTGTAAATAGGAGCAAAATTCACAAGGCATGTCATGTAAGTCGTTGATTCTAGCAGTCTCGGCCCGCGTAGTGGGATATGGTCCCTTTTCCTTAACTTAACTCTGTGTCTCAGTACGTGCATAATTAATAGGGTGATATTAATGACAAATTATAATATAATTAGGATTTCTTCATACCAATATGTATGTTATTAAAAAAATACTTAATTTCACACAATATATATTTACTATTCTATAGGTACGACTATAAATAATCAATAAAATCAATTGATAACATCCCTTAAAACAGCAAATACGGAATATCCATTGTAAAGAGCCTGAAAATAAAATAAATAATAATTAAATTCAAAAGAAGGTGCCTTTTCCTTTAGTCGATTCCCTATCCATTAATGTTAATATAATATGAACTGCATATTTTTTTAGCATATCTCTTATTGTATGTTGAAGAAGATATATTGTTAACACACATACTAAAATGTTCATAGACCAATAGTAGGATGTCATACCAATCACATTCATTGGTTTAGAATCCGTATGAACAAAATACAATAACAGTACTATTAATAAACAAAGTTTAGCATTAAATTAAAGTTTAAATTAAAGTAAATTTACGCTAAAATTGCAATTTTAGTATAAGTCCAAATTCGTATTATACAGAGAATAAGCAAACCTATTACCTAATAGGAGTAAATATTACTCCTGTAGAACCTCGTATTAGGTTAACCTTTGCGAAGTCTCTGTTTAATATTATTATTTTGACTAATACTAAGTGCATTCCCAGCGTAAATTTAGTATATAAGTAGCATTTGTGTAGTATTTGAGTCACAGCTCCTACACTAGAGAAAGTCTCACCAAAATAGAGTAGGCATAAATAAGTGTAATCAAGCATTTCAAGCTATAAGCAGCTTTAAATATGCCATTTTCTGCAGAATAGATTTATAGAAAACTTTGGCGCATCAAGGCTCATTTTTTATGATACGACTTACGCCTATAAATACTTCCTAAACTTCTGAAATTTCATAGATAAATCTTAACGACAGTAAATCAACTGAGTTTGATTATTCATGTAATAAAAAAACACTTCCACTGTTTGTAATGTCACACACAACGTGTTGCATGATCAATCTTAACTTCGTACAAACTAAAAGTTTGGTAGCCGTTCGATACAAGAAAGCCCTAAGATAAGCCGAACTGGGCAAACTTTGTTGACGCTTGAGATGCAATCAATGTTACACTAGCTTGAGACTTTAGCTTACTAACTATCGGTGATGGCTATCGCAGATTAGCTACAGATAACTCCAAGGATTATCTCGTAACATTGACTTGAACAGTGTTAAAGTTACATTTGTAATACTTAAATGTTGTTACATATTGGGAGACGCTTGAATAAGATATAAGGAAGAGTTTGCATGATTACATAATATTTCGATAATAAAGCAAAATTCTAATTCAATACGTCAAGAATCGTACAAGCTTTCCTGTGAATGGAATTAACTTACGAATACAATTGTCATATTATAATAAGTAAAAATAGGTGGCAATTTTGTACAACGTTATTCGGGAAAAATGTCTTAACTGGGTACTTAGCTAAGTTGGTTGACGGGGTCGGGTCCACCGTTAAGGTTTAATTTTCTTTATTATCTCTGGCTTGAGATTTCTGGGTTAACGTTTGTTGTTGTTTTCTGATTACCGTAAGTGCTACAGCTTATGCTACAGTTAGATCTAAATTCAGGTATATATTTTTGAGAGACTGTTTTTAGATAAAAGCAATGTATGTGCAATTCTACAAAAGGTATCTCCAGTTTCAGTTTAGTGTGATTTATCTTTTCACAAAAAAGAGGCTTGTAGATCAATGCAGTTTCCATATATCCCTTAAATAATGTGAAAGTAATTTATAACATTAATATGGCAGGTATGTTGCATGATTATATTATGCAATAAAAAATAAATACTCTTAAAAATGTATTCAAATTTACAAGCATAAAACTATCACCTATTTATTTATCGGTGTTGCGACATGGTACAAAATAGAAACCAAATTTACCTTATCTATATCTATATCTTAATGCCGTGTCCCTAACGGGGTACGTAAAGAAAACCGAAAGTCACAAAGCAAGGTTCTTCCATACATGAGGAGACGAAATACATGTTCGGTTTTGTTACTTCGGACATCATCTTCTAACTACACGATGGATTTGATTGTAAAAGGTGCTTCTTCGGCTTCTACATCTTTCTCTCCACTTTCGTGCTGTATATCAGTTTTATCATTGCTTCCATATGTGTGAACCAACAGAGCATGTTTCTGTTGATTTTTATACCGACATTTTCAGGTCAAATCTCTTTCTTTTCTCTTTTTTACGTATACAGCAAATTCTACGTAACTATTGCATCTTACATGCTCCTTCTGACATATCCAACTCTCGTTCCCATACATTTTGCCGTATAATAATTTAATATGATATCCATAAGATTTATACACCAACGTATAAATTGGATATGATTTGAAAGCAACACAAACCACCATATTCGTGCCATTACATTACATTCAACTAGTACGCAACCTCAACTATGGCGAGTCTACACTTTTGGTTATAAACACAATTAAATATAATCTTTTGGATTATAGTACTTTTTTAAGCAAAATTATGCTGTAAATTATTTTTAAGGATGATTGCAAATATATACATATATAAGGGCGGTTTACTATCCAGCATCGGAAAACAATACTTTTTACAGAGCTTAAGTTTTCTTACCTGCGCAAATGTCGGCATTGACATGTACGCTATACCTCCAGCAGTTAGCTTGAAACTTCTTTGGGCTGCTGTTATTACCAGCAGAAGATCCTTTTGCATATCCAATGGCCAGGATATCCAGCTAGATTCATAAGCTGCTAAAGCTATACCTGTACTCTATGAGCAAATTTTTTAAATATTATTCCTATTACCATTCTTACTTATGTGGATCAAATTGATGATCTCCGTGATTTTTAGGTCCAGTGGCTTATTCATCATTACTAAAGCTTTCCCGTGTTAGAACTTAGGTTCTTTTGAAGGAATCGAATCGAATTGAATAGGGAGAATGGGCCATGACATATGTGGATTGTTGGGTGTTAACAACTGCAGATACAGGCGGGGCCAACAGTTCAACGTGCCTTATGAAGTACGGAGAAGCTCAAGATAATAAATTTTTGGTCACCCATCCTTTAACTCGCCTTTGCCAAAGATGCTTAATAATCGTATCGCAGACCGGACGCGTTAACTACTACGCCATCGAAGTCCTTAAGGCTATTGAATTACTGATCTGTGATTTTATAAGTACGAACTTACTTCATCCATCAACTTATTGCCTAGATAGCAAAAAATGTATGCGTTGCATAGTGCTAGTACTAAGAAAGCCAGAAATGTCATCAAATGTTTCTTTTGATCGAGTCCTGTCTGTAAAAAAAGATTTTTATTTACAATAATAATTGAATTACAGAGCGAGCATATTCTAAGTTATTCAAAAGTTGTAATAGTATCTACTACTATAAACATTTTAAACTCTTATATCCAGCAAAATGGATAATAACTACACCGAATGTTGAATATGTTCATTAACGTTCGTAAATTAATAAATATTATATTTTTAAATAATACCTTCTTACCATAGAAGCCATTAATGCGTTTAGACATAATTCAGCGGTGACTGCTAGATTTTGAATCAGAAAATATTCTTTGAGGTTTCGAGCCAAAGCGTTTGCATATCTGTCAAATTATCAAAAAATATTTTGACTAGAATAGTCTAGAAATAGTTTCAAACTTAAATAGTTTCAAATAAGTTTGAAAATACCTCAGCATAGATACAAAAATGTGTTCTTTCATCTCTCAGACATCTTCAGCGTTCCACTGAAACTCTCAGTTGCTTGTAATTTTTACTTTTATTAGTAGAGACAATGAAGTAAGACTAATGCAATACAAATATGTGGAAATGATATACCTATCAAATGAAATTAATACGTACCCCATTAATCTGATATGTTTCTTGATGATAGATTTGAATTCTTCTTTAATCTCTATCTCGTTCTCGACAGAATAATTTAAGCTCTTCAAGCGAATCTGTAGCTCTGACAATTGATCGCAAAGATACATTATTATACTACACACTATACCTTGTATCGAAATACCTCTAAGCATACAGGGCACTGTGAACAATATTACTAAAATTTGAGTGGCTAGAAATAGTGTCCATTTATTTTTCAAATGATCGAAGGGGAACCAGGCGTCAACTGGCAATTCTCCTCTGAGAAATGTTAGAACCTGAAATACTCCGATGAGAGAAATAATCATCATTGTAACCGCAACGACGTGGAAAATCATTAATTTTTTCCTTGTCTCGCTGATTTGATCACCGGAATATATAATCTGGGAGACTAAGCTCCTAATATATTTACGTTGAATAAAGAATACGATTATTTTGAGAACATAATTGTAAGCAGGGATATTTTTATCCAAAGCGGTGAAGAATATGATAGATTCTTCCTTAACAAGATAAAGACCAATAGCAGTGATAATCATGTAAAGAATGGAGAAAATAAGCAACGTTATTTCGTAGAAACGATAAATAATCTTTTTGGTATTGGACCAGTTCTCATCGTGCCACAGGCCAACGTAGAGTAGGAATTTTAAATTGAAGTCAAAGAAATCAGCTCTGCTATGCCGAGAACCGATCATATGGACGGCCATGTTGCTATTGACGTGTAGATTTTGATTTCGGTTGAGGAGTAATAATTATGTGGACGTGTACTTTTTTTATCACAATATTTCTATGGTTTATTTGTTTACTAAGATAATTTATTATTAAATTGGTCATCCGAAACTTATTATATTGAGTACATTGAAAGATGTTTGACTAGACGTTTCAACTTGGATGTGATTTTGTTATTTGTGCAGTCCTATGAAACTTTTGAATTTAAATAAGATAGTTTTTGGTAAATTATTGTTTTTATTTATTATTCGTTTTGTCATCTTATTTGTATTCAAATTTGTATTCAACATCTTATCCAAACTTTAACAAATCTTTGTTTTTAAATTAACTGTAATGACTGCAAGTTACTGAAAGAAAAACTTTCAAAGACAATTCGAACATAATCAGGGTGCATTAAAACAGAGTTAACTTTGAAAAGGGATTCAGAAAATGGAGACCTTGTTAACTGCTTTCATATTATCGTAAGCAATTTACTTACCATGAAAACTTTTTATAAAACTGAAATAACATTTTTTTGGCTTATAATGTCGCAGCAAAACGTATAATATGAACTAATTTGTGACGGGTTCAGTTCTTCGTAGTTGGTATTAAATCAAACGACTGCCTAGGCTAGATATATTTAAGGTCTAAATAAAATATAACTGCAACAACAAAAAAAGAATATCAAACAGTTCGTATGTATGTATACCAAAATTACTAATAAAACAATTATATACCCCGTTTCTGGGCTTTCTTTTACATGTAACATTTATTAATACATAAAACATTTTTTTAAGATATATTTAAACATTTAAACAAATAATTAAAATATTTTATCATAACAATCTCATGTTACGTATGTACTGGTGGAAGAATTTTCACGAACTGACACTCAGAAAGAGCATATCGCGTTACTCAAAATTTCAAATCACGAAAAATGGATAAAAATAAAAAAGATAAAAATAATATGATATTAAAACAGAAATATAATAAGGCTAGGAATTATGCGAATAAAATTATACAAAAATCAAAAAACCAGTACTACTATAATAAAATTGAAGAGAGCAAGGGAGAACCAAAACATTATGGAATATTCTTAATAATATAACAGGTCGTAATAAACTTTCAGTGGATGAAATAATATCTAGTAGTTTCATAAATTCCGAAGTGAAAGAAATAGATATTGCCAATATTTTTGCAGATTCATTTATAGGTAGTCTAAAAAATATAATTCCTCATTGTAAATTCTCTTTAATGGATAAGACAAGTTACCAACGTTCAGTAAATGTATCGATGCGATTACGGAAAGCCAGCACTGAAGATATGGAAAGATTAATAAAAAGTACAAATCGTAAAAAGTCACCGGGTATTGATGGTATACGCGCATTAGATGTTCAGTTCCTTTGGCAGGAATTATCCCCAGTACTTGCAAAACTAATAAATACTTGTATTGAAACTAATACGTACCCGAATGAACTAAAAGTAGGAATAGTGAGACCCATTTATAAGAACGGTACTAAATCAGAATGTGAAAACTATAGGCCAATCACTATATTATCGGTGATTGATAAGATACTCGAGAAGTTCATTAGTAAGCAAATTTATGAGTTCTATGCGGATAATAATGTGTTGACAAACACACAATTTGGCTTTCAACCTCATAAAAACACAAGTCAACTTCTATCGGCATTTACTGATCAAATTATGCACGAACTAAATAAGAAAAAACACGTACTGGTAGTCTTCATAGACTACAGCAAGGCCTTTGATACCCTGAAACATGAAATACTGTCAGAGAGGCTGTATGAATGTGGTGTAAGGGGCTCACTGTTGAACTGTTGTCAGGATTACCTTAGGAATCGAACTTATCATGTTAAAGTGGGCAAGGAACTGAGCAAACGTGTTCACGTTACCGACGGAACAGCTCAAGGGTCGGTACTCGGTCCACTTCACTACATTGCGTATGTCAATAACGTAGTGAATGTTATTCAGGACTGCAAGATATACCAGTACGCGGATGACACATGCTTAGTTGCAGCTCATCATGACATCAATATTGCTCTAGATCAGTTACAAAAAGATTTTACTCGTCTTTCAGCATGTTCTCACGATGCCGGTTTGGTTCTAAATTCTAAAAAAACTAAAATGATTTATGTAAGTTCAAGCAGCAACCGAAGTCTTATGCCATTGAATTTGATTGCTCATGAACATAATTGTTTGCATGCGTATACAGGACCATGTAAATGTCCCGCGATTGAAGTTGTAACTAGTCACAAGTATTTAGGTTTGGTCATTGACGATCGTTTTAAGTGGACGGATCACATCGACCTGGTGTGTGATAAATTAAGAGCAATCTTAGCAAAAATTTGCCTAATTAAAAATAAGGTTCCGTATAAAATATTATTAGCCCTGTATTATTCTTTGGCGGAGTCTATTGTGTCATATGGTCTCAGCAGTTATGGTCGTACGTGTAAAAGTCATCTTGATAAAATTTACGGGTTGCAACTACGCCTTATTAAAAATATAGTACCGACTAAAATAAAAGCAAAATACAAAGATAACTATCGAGATCTATTCCATTATTGCAGTATTCTTCCAATTCATTACAAAGTAAATTATACAATATTAGTTGAAAATTACTTTAATAATAATATTAAAAAATCTTTTTATACTAATGTTAAAAATACAAGGCGGTCTCAATCAAAGAGGCTTGTGATTCCAAGGTTTAATAATCTGTATGGGGCAAGAAGTTTTGCATGTTTGGTTCCATTTCTGATTAATGAACTGCATGATCAAGTTAAAAATACAATAAATTCCAAAAATATTAAAAGAGACATTGAAGAGGTACTATATCGAAAAACTTAAATAGGTATGTTATTTGCATTAATATATTAACGAATGTACTATCGGGTTTATATTTGTATGATATATAATTTGTCAACTTTGTCTTATTTATACATTAACTCCCATTTGCATCAAACGCACGCTGTATATACTCGGGACATTCTTAACTACTAAGTCTTTATCCATGTACCCACTATTACGTTTATTTTGACTGATAGTAGATGGAACAAATTAAAGAGCAGCGATAGTGAATGAGCGGTATACGGTCAAACTTGTATTAGTTTTTGTATACTTGCTAATTAGTTACTGTAGAAAAAGTTAAATAAATACACTTTATTATTATTATTATTATTATTAATAAAATAATGATGTTAAAGATCACACGCAAAAAGTTTGGATGTGGGAATCTAGGACAAAATAAACGGTGTGGTACGACGCACCGATACAACTTGTAGAAGATAAAAGACAAAGATTTGTATCTAGATGCACTTCATTAGGTTCATCACACTTTGTAATTAGAGAAGCTATAGAGTTAAGTAGTTATGGTTTTCCAGGAAGACTTATATCGAAACGTAGGCATATTTTTGACATGTTCAACTTCTATAATGGCCCTTTATAGTTGCGTTGGCATTGAATTTTTGTTTCAAAATATCTTTCATCGCCTCGAAGGGTAAATACTAACTGGTTTAAACGGCATTTATTTAGCGTGTTGGAGCTACACTGTACATACATATACATATGTTAGAAATTAGTTAAAATCACATAATTGAATCTATTTTCATTTTGAAAGATTAAGCTCGATTTCCTGTCCACAAAACATGCCATATATGTAAGTTTATTGTGACCTATTTTGAAGTGAATACATTTTTGTTGTAACACTTGAAAAATGTATCTGGTTCCAGCGGATGGAACAAGGGTCCTTTTTGGTAGAACCAACGGCTGGATCTACAGTTGGAAAACGCATTAATATTGACGTGACATGGGTAAAATAATACGATAAATATACGTTGGATAGCGCATCACACTGATCCCGAGATAAATAGCTACAATTCTTGTGTTATACTAACAATATACGATTCGCCTTTTACAAAACATTAAAATCTCTTTCAATCGTTCAACTCATGGTTGTAAAAATTTCCTTAGGAGTTACTTTCGTTAAATATTTTACTTATAAAGGGGTCCGAGTCACTTATCAATAGAGCTATGGTAACCACACAGGTTTCATAAATTTGCCATTGAAAAGAGTTCGAGTTGAACTTAACGTATTATCGTGAATAACAATACGATCAGAAGCATAGTTGTAAAAATAGAGGTGAGTGTACAATTGCGTACAAGTGGTTTATCGGAGTGTCCGTAAGGTTTTCCTGCATCTACACACTTCCTTCTTTTTTATTATTATTATGTATTAAATTAACAATAATAATAATAAAATTTCTTTTTCTTTACAAACTTTTGACGACTTATAAAATACAATATATCTTAAACCCAATTTTGGTTGTTGTTGCCAGTTTTAGGTAATTAAAACCTTTGCACAGGACACCAGGTCCTCACCTCTCAGCGG